AATTAATTTATAAATATTTTTTGAATACCGGGCGCATCACGTGCGTGATGCGAGCGCATCAGCATCACGCATCACGCATCGGCTTCCGGGACCCTTAACGCATCGGATCGCATCGCGCTTTTTAAAACCAAGGTCACCATGCATCTACTAATGTCTTTCACAAGTTGATGGATATTTAGATAGTGATTATTTGCACCATGGTCGCCACTTGCCATTTATTTGAAATTCAGTGTATTTGCCAAATACTGTAGAAGTAATTCAGATCTTGTTGTTTGTCAGTGGCTTAATCTTGCTGAAGATGTTGTCAGAGTACATTGATATGCATACTGTTTTGCCAGCACTTTCCTCCGAGGTTATTCACCGTGTTCTTGAAATGTTGAAATTTTTCAACACAAGGGCTTGTCAGCTTGTTCTTGGTGCTGGTGCCATGCAGGTAACTACATTTGTACAGGCCTGTAGTCAATTTTTTAACAGCGGCATAATGTTAAATAGATATACTAAGCTGTTGCCATGTAAAATTCTTTAATACCACCACTTGCAAAAGCCAACTTATGCTTGTTGGACTGAACTTTGATATTCAGATGTGAATTCTTACAACAACTCCCGCTCTTTAACTGTTGCGGTATGTACGAAGTAACAAATGAAGAATGTTAACACCCCACCCTATAACTTTGATGCAGAACAATTGTTTTATTCAACTCAAGGAAATTCATAAGTACACAACTGGTTGAATACAACTGACCAGCTCTTCGAGACTCTGGATTCTCTTGATTGACTTCGTGATTATTGTCTGCCTCTCCCCACTCCCCTGACCTCCTGTTTATGTTTTCAATTACACCAACACAACTAATCCCAGCCTTCTATTACTACTCACATTACATTGACATAACTAATCCCAACCTCCCATAACTTACCAAACAGACTTGACAGGAAATTACATAAATGCCCCTGTATGTATTACACTATTGCCCTTGCAACTATGTCTTCCTTCTTTTATAATATGGATACTTGACTTCTGGTCTAACAGCACCCTTCGTCTAACATTCACCTTGTCCTCAAGGTGAAGAGAAGGAAAACGATACTTCAATAATTAGTAGTCTTCCCACTAAGCTTCTAACAGCGGTAAACCCTTACATTGGTCAACACGTCTAATTCACCAGCCCTTCCACTCGAATGAGGTCGACAATGCACCATCTTTTTCGGTTCTACTAAAAACACCAATTCTTCAACCAATTGCACAGGCAATACAGGGGAAGAAACACTCACCAATAGCTTGTCTCAAAGGAGATACACGGAATACATGATAGGTCTCTGTTTCTAATTTTGTTAATGATCTGATACGGCCCATAAAATCTTCATACCAACTTCTTAATGATTTGAGATACCAAGGAATGTTGACAATAGTTCCTTAGCATAAGGAACACTGAATCTCCAACATTAAATGGATATCCTTTCTATGCTTATTTAATTTGTTGCTTTATCTTATGTTGAGCTTGTAAAAGATGCATCCTTAAAGAATTAACGACATCATCTCGTTTCTTTAATGATTCTTCAACTGAAGGAACAATCAGTGAGCCCTTCTTGAAACGCACGAAGGGTGGTTGATCCCTTCTATTTAAAGCTTTAAACGGGTTATAGCGTATCAAACCATTATAAGTTGTGTTGTATTGGTATTTCGCGCAAGATAAACTCTTCTTTCAATGCCGCGGATAATCTGAAACCAAACTTCTCAAATATTATTCAGAATGTCTGTTTACCACTATGAAATGGGCATGCTTGTTTAAATGATCGACCAACTTTAAATTGGTGTTCATTTTTTCCGAATTCAGTAAACCTTCAATAAAATCCAAGGTAAAGATACTGGCTGCAAGTTTGCAACCACCCTGCTGATGATCCCGACAAAGACTTGTGCCGTTGACATACCTCACATTGGTGTACCATCTCCCGTATATCGCTCTTCATATGCATATCCAATAAATCTTCAATGCCATACGTCAAGACTTGATACACATGTTGTTCTCTAGAATGACCACCCATGGAGGAATAATGTAATTCTTCCGAAATTAATGGAATTGGTTTTGATGACTTCGGAATGACAAATAGATCCATATACCATAGAATCCTTTTTGCATTGTAAACCTTTTATGCTCCACCCCTTGAGATTGAATTCCCTTTTGATCCACCTCAAATATTGATGTTGAACAAGCAACTTTAGAGTTTGAAGAAAGGATCGAGAGGATAAGATAATCATGAACTCAAGCCAAAGTTTCCTTTTTTTTCAGTTTTTTAAATTAAAGTTTTCTGTTTGCAATTTAATTTAAATTAGTTTCCTTTTTAAATAAGGATAAGTCCATAGTTTAGAGTAATCCTTTTAGGATTCTTAAATAAGTTTGGTAGGTCCCTAATCTAGAAATAGGCGTCAATGTCTTTGTTTTTGGTAGATACATAGATTTACAATTTTATTAACATTGGTGGATTCCAAGGTGTTTTCTTCAAAAACACGTTAATGTGATTGAATCGTTTCCGTGCTGCGTCAAATACACATCGCCATCTACTTGCTGACTTAACTGGTCCCATTGTCTTCATTGCAGACCTCCCATCGTCGCACACTCTACATCCCTACAGGATAACGTGCCTATCGTTACATTACTCTTGCCCGCTCTTCACTTAATGTTAAAATTGTACCCCAATAATTTTGTCAGCCACCGTTGCCTTTCTAAAACCTCATCACTTGGATGTGCCAATTTGTATACAACGTCGAATCGAGAGTAGTCAACTGTTGAATCCCAAAAATTATATCCGCATTTCCGAGTTGATGGGCTATAATTTTTCCAACATCTCTACTCCTTGTAAATGTAGTCTAGCCCCTTTACAAATCGAGGACATTTTACATCAAGTGGCTATGTTGGATAAGCCCTCGTAAGTGTATTGTCCCCATTTAGTCATATGCTATCTCACTTCCACATGCCTTTAAAAATAAAATACCTAAAAAATTAAAAACCTTCTAAAATTCCTCTCTACCATCCAGATTGATCCTGCTTTTGCTGTGGCTGTTCTTGCTGTCGTTATTCTGAGTTCCCTCCTCGCTGCTCGCCTCCTCCCTCCTTTCCCTGCTACTCTCCTCCTCCCTAGGTTTGAAGTGGTAACCATAGGTTTGCTATTGATTCTTTGGTGAATTTTATTGAATTCATTTCTGTAACACCCTAGAAATGGGACAACAAAAATTTCCAAATAAACCGGAAATGTGGTATTGAAATATCAAAATACGAGCCATCCCAAAAATGGGAACATAAACACGCTAGTTAATTACAATTGTAACAAATGGGTTTGAGGATAACAACCTCCTAATCTAATTCCTTAAAGAAATAAGATTACATTTGGGTGTCATCTAAGCCACCAAAATACTTCAATAAATGACAAAATGCTCCCATGCTCTCTACAGAACCTGAGATACATGCCGACACCAAACAAGTATTAAGCCAAAACGCCTAGTGAGCATGAACATGAAGTATACAATTGCAATATAATATGTTAAAACCATTTGTAAACCAAATACAACATTTAGGTGGTATCAACGGGAAGACCCCTATTCATTGAGAGTGACGGGAACACAAAAGTATGTCACTTGAACAATGTTGTCGCCTAACACTTCATGAGTTACCGTCCAAGAGTCCTAACAACTACTTAACAAGTTTCACCTTAAGAGTCAATCGTCCTTGGTGTCTATTCTCGCTAATTCCACCTCAAGGCTCGGCACACTTAGTGTCTACCTCAAAAGTAACACCTCAAGCGGCGGAGATCTTAGTGTCTACCACTAGGGTAACACCTCAAGACTCAACCCTCCTAATGACTACTTGGAAAGCTTCATCCAAACATATAACTTAATGAAATAACCAATTCATCCACATTTAGATACTCTTTCATCCATTAAGCCCGGTAAGTTACCAAGTACCATTATGGAATCGTCCAAGCTCATAAGACTAGCATTTATAGACAAAATCCCAACTTTAGGTCAAAATCCCAACAATTATGATTTTTCATAACAAAACCAAAATGATGAACCAAAAACCATATAAACTCTACTAATAGGCATCTAGCACACAAGGATCCATTAATATGAGCTCAATATGAAGATTTGCCCAAAAATGTATAAAACTTCACCAAATATGAGTATAAGATCAATCATCAAAAAGTTGTGCAATACTTGAAATTAAAGCTTGTAATGGCATTAAGAACACATTTAGGCATGTATCTAGTTTTACAAAATATTTAAAACTCATTTGCTAGGTTTTTAGAGAAAACCTAGAAAACCAAGAAAACCTTTAGGAATGGAAGTGATGAACTTGGATCTTGATCCTAGCTTGAAGTATTTAATCTTATAAGGAAATAAATGCTCTGAAGGGGATTGATTTTGACCTAGGAGGGTTTCCAATCGTCTTTAATGGAGAGAGGTAGGTTTGAGATATATGAAAAATAAAGTTGAAAATCGGGTTTTAATGGTGCTGGGGCATTCCCGGCTATCCTGTCACTATAGCGGGCACTATCGCCCTGACTGTATCGAGATTTCTCCTTCTTCTGGCGATCCTGACAGCACCTTTGCCCTTATGTCACTATCGTTGGGCACTGTAGACCGACTTGTACCGAGAGTTTAACACCATTTTCTCCTATTTGGCTCCCTTCCTTGCCTAACTTATGGAACACAAAGGCTTTAATTTCAAGGCATTTCTCCAACTATTTTAAAGATAGAAAGATAGAAATAAAGTCTTAGAATTTCACTTACCAAAATTCCGGATGTTACAAATTTCGTTTAATTCTTTTATTACATTTTACTCAGTTGTAGGTCCAATTCCTCCATGGATTGTCTCTTTGATTCAACTTCATAGTTTACTTCTTTTGAATAATTCTCTTACTGGGGTCTTTTGTGATTCTTTGAAGCAAGCTTCTTCATTATTGCCATGCCACTTAATATGTTGACAGGCTCCACACACTCTTTATTTTCCAGGTCTCGTTGATCTCACGATTCTTCATGTACTTTCAAATCTCTTTTTTCCACCTGGGTTTGGTTCATTTTCATGTTTGTGGTACTTCAATCTTTCCAACAATTGTCTTCTTCAGTGCTTGTACAACACATGTACAACTGGGGGGAAACCTTTTGCAGTTGGTTGAGCTTGATGTTGGGTTCAATTCATTGTTTAATAATTACCAAGGGCACTAAAATGTTTAAGATTGAGGAGATGATTTGTGGGTCAGTAGATGATCTGAAATTGATGATATTTTGTTGTGGAACAGTTGAATCCAAGTTCATTGATCATATTTTCTTTAGAATCAGTTTTGATGGATAGTTGATGGATACAATATTGTTTATCATGAGGATTTGTGTTGTTTATCATTAGAATTTGGTTTTGGTGGATAGTTGATGGGTACAGTATCTTTTTATTGGCCTAAGGGTTAGCCACCTCGTCAGAGGGGTAAAGTAGTCCTCTTTGTCATTCAAAACGTTTATTCAGCTCAGATAACAAACACAATGATCTTAGCCCTTAGGTCAGATTCACGTCTTAGTTCACACAGACAGTTTAGTCCACACGGTGCTTAATGGGGAAACAATCGAACTGCCCCTTATTCATGTCAAGGGTATTCCTCTTAAGCTCTTATTTGAAGGCACATTATTTGTTGTTAGTCTTGGTTTTGATCCTGTTTAATTGGCACTGCAGGTCTCTGGTTTGAAGTCTATTACATCCAAACACTTGGCATTGGCAAGTCAGGTTGTCAGTTTCGTGCATGCTCTTATCCCTGGTAGGTGCTGTTAGCTTTTAGTACTCTTTCAACTAATTGTGCTGCATCATGTCATGAGTGTAGTCTTTATCTAATATGGCTAATTCTATTCTATAGCATATAATATAAAGTATACTTTGACTCTATGTACAAGCTACTGCATTTATGTGCTTGATTAGTCAAACCTATTAGACACTATTTTACGCTTATACTTCAATGCCACTTACTACAATGGTGCAACGTTTCATCAAGAATTGAGTGCCATCCATGGCATTGAAATAATGTATGCAGAAGTAGTTTTGAATGCTTGCCATCTTCTAATTTCTGAACTAAGGTACTTGTTGTGCAACTTATTGTATGCTGATTCATTGTTATGTTTGCCAATGGCTTATTGTATTCTCTATGCTCTACTTTGCCTTTTGCTTTAAGAGCAGTTGTTGATGTGCCATTTGTGTTATCTCTCATGTCCAGAATACAACTTCCTAATTGCATACTGTAACGCCCCAACCCACACATTGCATGTAACACATATTTCATACAAAATAAATACATGATATCATTCCATTCAGGTCCCTTAGAACAAGAATCTAATATGACCAAATACAAGGTCCAAAAATTTTAATACATCACTTGTACTAATCAATCAAAACTATACATCAAAACAGATCTTCAAGCAGAAATGTATATAGGAAAATATTAAATTTTCCCCTTTCCCTTACCGTCCGCACCTCCTGCAATACATAGATAAAATCACAAAACGATATGTACATCTCTCCTTGATATGCCACCCTTATCCCATGGTACACCTCTCCTTGATATGCCACCCTTATTTCCTCATCAAAATTTTTCATAAAACAATTCCAAACAGACCGCAGCCAATGGAATTATTATTTATTAATCCAAAATCATTTATATCAAATCTTCATTTTATGATAAAATAACAATTTCACAAGGCACAATTCAAATCCGGTCAACCTAACTTAGCCGGATTTCATCTCCGGTCAACAATCCGGATAACACATCGCATAAGCTTTGTCCGGTTAACACTTAAAATAAATTCCAACTTTGTCCGGATAACAAGTCCGGACAACACACCGCATAAAGCTTGATCGATTTATCACTTAGAATCAATATCAACATCTTTGTCCGGATATCAAGTCCAGACAATACCCTGCTCACAACTTAACCGATTTAAAACAATCCGGACAATACATCGTCCACCCTTTGACCGATTTAAAACAATCCGGCCAAGCTTTGTCCGGATAAAACCCTTAAGTAAAATTCATTGATTTCATTCCAACAATAAACAAGATTCATATAAAACCAGTAATAATTTTATGCAAAAGAGTTTAGAAATTACTCACCTTAACAAGCTTTTGAAATCAGATACTTGAGATCAACTTAAATCTCCAGACAAGAAACAATCTGGTCAACCTCTCTTCTTTAAATCGCACAACTTTTTCAAAAAGGCAATTATACATTTCCAAAATAGGAAAGGCGGTTAACAGCCCTTCTCTTATGCATGCATTTACACTACCATATATACACTTATGCACACATGCACATACATGCATGCATATCACATATACTATGTGTGTGTATATATATATATATATATACCATGCATACATATAAATATATAACATATGCATTTCATATTATGCACATTTTCACATCTTAGCATGATCAAACGTAATAATTTATCATGCTATTACGTAATCATTTAATCAAATAATCACATATTATTTACCTTGGGTGATAACCAGGATCAAGTTATCACACGTACTCATATGTTCATTATGTATTAATTTGAGTTTTGGTGTCAATTAATGCTTGCAACTTTGAGGAAGTTACTTTCACATCACATTAATATGAATAACTATACTCTTCATTCTCTATTAGGCTGCTAATATTTTTTTTGATTAACCTGGATATCCAACCCGCTATGCGAGCCGACTAATCCCAGGGCGACCACCTGCTTTGCAGATAGCCCGGAGTCATCGCATTTGAACCTCCGTGGCCACAAGAGGATTTTTATTCCTCCTTGGATTTGAACCTGGGACCTCCTGCTAATATTGTTTCCCCTGAAATCTTAAATCTAGTTACCCTGTCAATTGTTTGGTAAACTTTTTGGTTTGTGAAATTGCCCATGTAATGTCAGTGAATGTGGTAAAATTGTAGCATGTAAAAGGTCTTTCGGATTGCTAGAGAATAAGTTGTAGTTTGATATCCCCAAATACATATGTTAAGTTTGTTTGATCTCTAGTTGATCGTACTGCATCAATGAAATTGGATTCACGTTTATATTTAACAATGATACTTGATAACTGTTAGGTGCATATTTCTAGAACTTTTAGAGCTGCAAAAATTATTAATTGCTGTGAGTATACCATCTGAAAATTTATTTTAACTTATTCTTCTGTATGTATCTAAGAAATTAGGAGGATTCTTTTCCTGAAAGTACCTGAGACTCGAAAAGGCTTGCTGTTATCAGAAATTGACCGAGTATCACAGGTAGTGTTTAAGGAAACCTATTTTTTTCTCATTATCTTGATCCTGATCCCATGTCAACAATTACATCTTTTTGTCTGATTCTTGGCTATTCGTGAGTTTCTTCTCGCGAGCAACCATATTTGGGTTCTCATTTTTCCTTTGAAATGCCTATCCAGTGCCATGTATACTATATGCCTGGTGATTTCGTTTTACCACTTTTGAACAGTTTAGATATTACTTCAAATTTGATCATATTCCACATGACATGGCATTAATTTGTCTTCTAGCTTGCCTGTTCTCAATAGGATTAGAACATATAATATTTTTGTTGAGTAAGAAATGATGCAGGGCATCATAGAAAACATAGGAAAGTGGACGAGAAGAGCAAGGCATGGTGAAAGGAAAAGAATAGAGAGCTACCTTGCAGGGAATGTACAATGCTAGCCAAGTTTCACACACACTCAAAATCACTGTATTATTTGATGGAAGATTGTCTCAATCTGTATTAAATCACAATATTCTTGTAGTCGAAACTACTGCAACTATAACTACAAAGTAGAAAGACGACTAAATACCTGATAATAGTTTTTCTCCCAAGATACCGAACTTTCTTTAGTGCTTCAATAATATTAGTAGATGTCCAAATATAGTAAATATACTTACCTAAATACTATAATATGATCTCCAAAATCTACTTTGTCTTTGCTCGATATAAAACAAGACTATCTCCACAAACAGAAAAGTATTGTGCTTGATATAGTTAACTTCCAAAGTTCATTTTGGATATTGCTGGCTTTGGCCAAAGGAGCAGAGAAATCCTCTTAACCTTTTCAACAAAGTTCTTAGGTGAACTACTTGTGCATGGTGATAATCTGCATGTGCTTGGATGTTACCTAATGCACCACAAAGATCATATTCCTCTACCGAAATCGTCAATCACATTACCCTGGTGGTGGCTAGGATTTTGAACCTGGGCACAAGAAAATCAGAACAACGGTGCCGGTCACCGAGGGTTTAAGTCAGGACGGCACCCAGAAACCAGAATCAGGGTTTGACAAATCACACGAACTAGAGGCGTGATGTTTTAGTGAGTCAGGATCAACGAGTAAATCCAAATTGAGACTATGGTTGGCAGTGGTGGTAGCTGCTAGGGTTTCGACTTAAGGGGGCATTTTCTAGGATTTGTAGTTGCTATTGACAGGACTGCTAGGGTTATAGACGGCGTTTGAGATGAATAGGGTTTTAGTAGTTGATGTGTACATCAAGAAAACAATTGCTTTGGTACCATGTTAATCTTAAGCTATTTCTCATTATTGTGTGTCTCCTTAAAGGCAAAGGATGATGCATATATACTACAAGAGAGGGCTGATGACAGCTGACCTTTCTAAGTACACATTCTGTATCTGACTAAAATATGCAATGCTATATATATAACCCTATTTTTACAAGTTTGAATCATAATATTGATTTACATGGATGTCTCGGGTATTATGCATGTTACGGGAATTGGAAATTTCACATATGAGGCTACTACATAATCCCTAAAATGGTGTTCTGATTGGTATAACATTGTAAAAATTGACTTTATATTTGCTATTTCTGAAGAAGTCTGGGACATGTCATAGTTGGTTCTGCGTAATTGATTTTGGTGCTCGAATAATAACAATCAAGCAGCAAAAGGAAGAATAAAAATAGGTAAAAGAACTAGAGGAAGTTATCTGTTATTAGTTGAAGCTTCAATTATCTCTCTCTCTCTCTCTCTCTCTCTCTCTCTCTCTCTCTCTCTCTTCTCTCAAGCATGCATGCATTCAACACATACAGACACGTATATCTCTAGACTTCTACATATGCACTTGTTTGTTGGATGATCATGGGCTATTTATCGTTGCTATATCTTCTCAAATGAATATAGGATTATAAAGTGCATCGTGATGAGATACATACAAAGCTGGTGCAAATAATGAGGGAAAGGTTATTAGTTCATCTTCGTGGGCTGCCACAAATTATTGAAACATGGAGCCGCGTAGATGAGACCGATACACAACCCAGTCAGTTTGCTCGATCACTCACGAAGGTATCTTTTTTTCCCCTTCCCTTTGGATCACTTCAATTATATCACTGAATTTCATAACCACCAATCAAAATATGTAGAGTAGAGTATGACATATGCAACTTGCTGAAAATACCCTAACAACTGATATGACAATGTCAACCATAAACCCATATACCTAATACTTATGTAATTGTTTTTAAAAATTATGGTATGTGCACATTAGAATACATTTTTTTGTTATTGGATGGTTATAGTTTCCCAATCAAGTGATCTATAAGTTAATTGATGGAAGGATTCAACCACAAATGTTACTTTTACGCTGTTGAAGGGCAATCAATATCTTACCAACAAAAAAAAAGCTAATACACCTATGGTTGGAGCATGTTTGTCAAACATTTCCAACGTGCTTCATCCTAGATCCAGTTGAGTCTTCCAAAGGGGTTTTTATTGAAATACTAGAAGGGTGCTCGCGCAATTCAACGAGATACATCTTGATTTTGATGTTTTGTTTTATATTTTGGATCTATCGATGTTATAATGCAATTTTATGTGGTTTTGAAAAAAAGAAAATGTCTTTATTTTTGAAATGAAATATAAATTTGAAGATATAAAATTTTGAAAAAAATAAGCGATATTTGTATTAAATTAACTACTTAAAAGTTATCGTTTTTGTGTAATTTCTTTAATTCAATTTTTTATTATACTTTAATTGAAGTTTAAAAACAAAATAAATTATTTTTGGTTTAATAAAATAATGTTTTTTAAGATAATAATTAGGTATTCTGTTAGACTCGATTATCTTAATTATATTTTAGATTTTTTATTTAAAATGATGTTTATCATGTATTTTATTATGTTTATCTACATTTAGTTACAAGAATTCAAACATAGAGCTTTAATAAGATGTATTCATGCATATTCTACTTGTAATCTTGAATTTTAAGTAGTATGCATCAATAAACAATACTTTATGAATAAAAAATTGTTTCTAAGAGTTTTTGTCAAATGCTTTATAATATATTTATGTTAGAACTCAATGATTATCTTAATTATATTTTAGATTTTTTATTATTTAAAATGATATTTATCATGTATTTTATTATGTTTATCTGCAGTTAGTTACAAGAATTCAAACATAGAGCTTTAATAAGATGTACTAATGCACATTCTACTTGTAATCTTGAATTTTAAGTAATATGCATCAATAAACAGTACTTTATGCATAAAAAAATGTTTTTAAGAGTTTTTGTCAAATATTTTATAATATAGTATAGATTGGTTACCCGATTTCTAATAGGAGGTGCATGAAAAATATTTAATATATCACCAAAGGACAGTTTATGTGGTACACATAAAATATGTGGTTTGTGGAGATGTGCCTAGTTTCATGGTTATCATTGTACATATCAATCATATCACATGTATACCTCCCAACTCATGTTTCGAATGATTTGCCCCAGACATGCTCAAATGCTATCTATCATAGCTTATTTTTCGGACAATGTTGACAACTTGTTTCTTAGCTTTGTGTCATATAGATCACTTGGTACAAAATGCAATACAAATTCATGAACCACTTTCTTAGACATCCTAGTTTGATTCATATTGAAATTATGTTTTGATTTGTATCAATGTCGAAAATGGGCATGAGGCGTGGTGTAACTGCAAAGTAAAACCTGAAGATTAGGAGCCATGATATTTTTCAAGGTGTGGCTTATGGAGACAAATGTGTGTGTATAATGTAATTAGGGATTATATTATTGCTTTCAACTTTTGTATTACAAAGAAAGGATACAAGGATATATATATATATATATATATATATATATATATATAGACAGAAAACCTAGACAAAAGAGAAACCCTAAGGGCCCATGGGATTAATGGGCCGAAGTAAATACATATCGTATTTACATTATAACACTCCCCCTCGAGTTGGAACATAGATGTTAATCATGCCCAGCTTGTTACAAATAAAAGATATTCGCGAACCAGGTAATGCTTTGGTAAAGACATCAACAAGTTGTCTTCCTGTTCGAGCAAAGGGAGTTGAGATGATTCCATCTTCTAGCTTTTCATAAGTGAAATGGCAGTCAACCTCGATGTGTTTTGTTCTTTCATGAAACACGGGATTGTCTGAAATGTGGATAGCCACCTCATTATCACAATATAGGTTCATTGGTTTAGATTGAGCAAACCCAATTTCACTTAGCAAATTACCCAACCACATCAGCTCGTAAGTGGTTTGGGCCATAGCCCTGTATTCAGGTTCAACACTTGACCGGGAAACAACATTCTGTTTCTTGCTTATCCACGAAACTAGATTCCCTCCGACTAACACACAATATGCTGTCGTAGACTGCCTAGTAGTAGGATCCCCATCATAGTCGGCATATGTGAACCCTTCTATGACATGATGACCGTGATTTTGATAAAGGATACCAAGACAGGAGCACCCTTTAGGTACGTCAGTATATACCTAACAATGTCCCAATGTGGAGTTCTCGGAGATGACATAAACCGACTTACTACACTCACTTGAAACGTGATGTCAGGATGTGTAATCGTCAGGTAGTTTAGCTTTCTAACAATTCTTCTGTACTTTTCTTGATCCTCAAGTAGATTTCCATCGTCCGCTTTCAATTTCATATTTAGAATCATTGGGGCCTCACAAGGTTTTGTTTCAATCATTCCAGGGTCAATTCAATATATCTAAACAATATTTCTGTTGAGACAAACATATCCCTTTTTGAGTACGAGATACTTCAATTCCCAAGAAGTATTTTGAAGGAATTAGGTCCTTTGTTTGAACTGAGACGCAAGGAAACCTTCTAGCTTCTTGATCCTAGTCTCATCACTCCTAGTAATCACAATGTCATCAACATATACCACTAGTAGAATACATCTGGAAGATGACGAAGTAAATAACACAAAATGATCACAAGAGCTCATTCGTAAGTCGAACTCAGTCACTACGACATTAAACTGTCCAAACCAAGCACAAGGGGATTGCTTTAAACCATACAATGATTTACGCAGTTTACATACTCTACTAGACTCCCCTTGAGCAACAAACCCAAGGTGGTTGCTCCATATAGACTTCCTCATGTAAATCACCATACAAGAAGGCATTTTTCACATCCAGTTGGTGTAGTACCTAGTCGTAAGTAGCGGCTAATGAAACAAATAAGTGGATGGAGGGTACCTTAGCCACAGGAGAAAATGTCTCGTGATAGTCAACCCCTTAAGTCTGAGCATATCCTTTGGCTACCAATTTGGCTTTCAGACGAGCCATGGATCCATCTGGATTAACTTTCACAGTGAATACCCATTTACAGCCAATTGCCTTTTTGCGTCCAGGTAACTCTACCAAATCCCATGTATCATTATGATCGAGAGCATTCATCTCATCAATCATAGCATCCCACCATCGAGGATGGGCCAAAGCTTCACCAACCGTTTTAGGAACAAATAAAGAATCAAGTGTAGAGATCAAAGAACGAAAATGTGAAGAAAGTTTTTCATAGGAAACAACGAAAACTTGAAGATAATTAATCATAGGAAACAACAGAAGAAATAAGGTAAGTACATGAGCGCTTACCTTTCTGAAGAGCAATGGGAACATCAAGATCAGGAACCTGTGTATTGGAAGGTGGTGGATCACTCGAATCAAGAGGATCATCATTAGGCGGATCTGCAGACGATGATGAAGATGGTGTTGGGTCGGGATTTGATGTAGGTCGTTGCCGCCTATTATATACATGAACTATTGGTGGTTTATTAGGCTCTTGGGTCTGTGTCGAGTCGGGTGGGGTAGTAAACTCAGGAACAGGTATGGTATACACCAACAAATCATCACTCTCTTGGGTTGCAAGGAGTGGACATAGGAAAGAAGGGTATATACTCATTTAATGTAACGTTTTGTGATACAATGTATCGATTAAGCATGGGGAAAACACTTATACCCTTTTTGAAGTCGAGACTGACCAAGAAAGATACATTTAAGAGACTTTGGATCCAACTTAGTTATGTGAGGTCGGGTATCCCGGACAAAGCAGGAACTACCAAAGATCTTTAGGTCGACAGGAAACAATGATTTTGTAGGAAACATAACTGAGAAAAGACTTTTACCATCCAAGACAACAGAAGGCATTTGGTTGATAAGAAAACAAGCGGTAGCAACCGCATCAGCCCAGAAGTTTTTAGGAATAGTCATGTGAAATAATAGAGCCTGAGCCACCTCTAGGAGATGACAATTCTTTCGTTCCACAACCCCATTTTCGGCTGGTGTGTCAACACAGGAAGACTCATGAAGAATGCCATTTTGAATTATATATGACTAAAATGTTTGGGACAAATATTCGTTTGCATTATCACTACGAAGAGTTTGAATGGAGACTTTAAACTGCGTTTTAATCTCAACATAGAGTGAACTAAAATGTGTGAATACCTCAGATCATTTTTTCATAAAGTAAAGCCAAGTAGTGCGAGAGTAATCATCAACAAACGTAACAAAATACTTAAATCCAAGTTTTGAAGTAACAGGAAATGGTCCCTAAACATCATAATGGACAAACTTAAATGGGGATGAGGCCCGCTTATTATAGACTCTAGGACTTAAATAATGTTTGGCAAACTGACAAGACTCACACTATAAAGAAGGTAAATAAGAAAACTCTGGACATAACTTCTTCAGATTCTGTAAAGATGGATGACCTAATCGACAATGAACTTCAAGTGGAGACGATGAGCTAGAACAAGTCAATGCATAAGGTACTTGATGTTCAAATATGTATAGGCCATCAGTCTCCTGCCCTCTACAAATAATTCTCTTCGTCGACAGATCCTGAAAGACACAGAAATCAGGAAAGAATGAGACAACAATTTAAAGCATGGGTAATTTTGCTGACTGATAATAAATTGAATGAGAAATTAGGTAGGCTCGATACGGAAAATAACGAAACAGACAGGGTAAGATCGATGGTTCAGAACCAAGGACAGGTGTGGTAGACCCCCGTCAG